TGCTTCCCTTATCCACCCCCACCCCCACCCCAGTCCCATCCCCATCTCTAGGTCTGTTCTTCCTGCTCTAGTCTGCTTGCAGTCGGGTCACTGGAATGTGTGCCAGAAACACAGAAACACGCACGCACGCACGCACCCCAGCCTCTCACCTTCTCCCACCTTGGTGAGCCGGGGGTTGCCCAGTTGAACTGACCTGTGTCCTGTGTCTTGCAGACAGTGGAAATGTATCCGGCCTACACAGAGGAGGAGCTGAGGCGCTTTGAGGAGGAGCTTGCTGCTAGGGAGGCTGAGCTCAATGCCAAGGCCCAGCGCCTCAGCCAGGAGACAGAGGCCCTGGGGCGCTCCCAGGACCGCCTGGAGGCTCAGAAGAGAGAGCTGCAGCAGGTGACCAACTGGGGAATGTGGGCCCATCATCTAGATCTCACAGGGCCTTTTTCTTTATCCAAATGGGTGTCTTCAGGGTGGGATGGCTTGTAGCTCCCATGCTAATAGTAGATACATATCTGCAGGGTTAGCTCCTGTCATCGGTACAGGTAGAGGATTCTCCCTCCATGCCTGACTGTGCTGCAGCCGTTTTTACATGAGGCCAGTGAGGGAGTCAGGCCCAGGAGGGGAGGACCAGGGTTCAGTGTGGGAACACCTGAGCCACACCAGGAGAGAACTAAATGCTAACTAGTGTGAATCCCAGCTCACTGACAGAGGAACCAAGGACATGGGGGAGAGAGGGGACTGTAGCCACTTTTGTCTAGCTATGGGGTCTTTCTGGGGCCATAACCTCTTCTCTGTGTGTTCACTTCCTGCAGGCTGTTCTGCAGATGGAGCAGAGGAAGCAGCAACAGCAAGAACAGAATGTTCCACCTTCCAAACCTGAGGGAAAGCTGCAGTTCCGTGCAGACACAGGTACTGCTCTGTACCCTGGGGCACTGGGTCTGAAGGAGGAAAACCAGGGCCCAGGCCCTTCAATCAGACCCTCAGTCTGAGGGAGGAGGCACAGACCTGGACCTTATGTCTGAAGGAATAGGCCCGGGAATCCTATTTTCTGTGTTTGGGAAGTTTCTTGTCTAACATCAATCTCCTTCTTCCCTCTGCAGGTGACGCTCCTGTCCCAGCTCCAGCAGGTGACCAGAAAGATGTGGCTCCTGAAAAGAAGGCCGCAGAGCAGCCCCCTGAGCTGCCCCAGCTGGATCCCCAGCCCTTATGACCTCTCAGTGACCCCAGCCCTCAAATTCCTGCAGAAAGTGACAGAAGCCAGATGAAGTAGCCTTGCAGCCTCTGTGGAGGCCTGAGCCTGCAAGGCTTCCTGGGGAGGAGAAAGGGCTACCCTGTTCCTCAGATGCATCTCTGCCTGTGTCTGCCACTCTCAGCTCTCACAGCCTCCAGGTCCCAGTCCCTTCCTTCTGTCTCCTGGCTTTTCTTTATTCTGTCAGTGACTTACTGCAGGAGCTGACGTGAAGAGAGACCCTCTGTACCTGGAGTGCTTGCTCTGGGCCTGCCTTCCTTTCTGGTTTGCTCTTAGCTGTTCCAGGCTCAGCCAGTTTGCATTCTGTCACAGGAGCTTGGCTTGGTCCCTCTAACTGCCTTCTGTGGGGCCAATGGGCTCAGTTCCTTTCCATGGTTGGAGGCTGGGGACTTGGGGTTCTCTCAAGTAACTATCAGTTCTGCCTGGGCCGCTGGCTTCCATTGCTGCCTCACCAGCCTTACCCTGACCTCATGAGCCCAATACCTACCCCATGGCTCCAGAAGGTACCTAGGTATGGCTACACCCCAGCTGAGATCCAAATGCCCTCAGCCCACACCTGTGGGGGCTCCTGAAAATTCGTAACCCACTTCCCTTGTTTCATGCCACACTGCTGTGTCTTACTGTGCTCCAGTTCCATTCAAATATAGTCTGATACAAGTAAACATTAGCGGACCTGTGTGTGCACACTGCCCTCTGGGAAGCCATACCTGCATGCCAGCCTGACTCTGTAGCATCCTATGGGCACTTTAACCCTCACTTCTGAGAGGCTGTCTGCTCTTGGCAGAATAGCCTCACACTGCTTCCTTGTTGCCTTGGGGACAGAAAATCCAAACCTGAGCTTGAAAAAAATTTTAATAGCTTAAGTAATTTAGAAAATATATTATTAAGGGGCTGTGGCTCAGTTACTATAATGCTTGCCTGGCATACATGACGCCCTGTGTCCCGCAGGCCACTTAAATGGGGAATGGAAGTAAATGCCTGTAACCCTAGCCCTGCAGATCCCTTTGTGCAGCCTAGACTACATCATGACGTCCTGTCTATAAAAAAGGGGGAGGGGCACAGAAATGGCTTAGTTGGAAAAGTACTTGTGGAAGTATAAGGACCCATGTATAAAACATCTGTAACTAGCAATGGGGAGAGACAGAGACAGGCGGGTCCCTTCGGGTTGCTGGTCTGCATCCTAGCCAATTCTGCAAGACCCAAACCTCACTTTTTTTTTTTTTTTTTTTTTTTTGGTTTTTCGAGTCAGGGTTTTTCTGTGTAGCTTTG